TAAATCACCTTTTTTTCCCATTCTGACATTCAGTCAGTTCAGGAGATTGTCTTGACCAGGACCACACCCCTAAATGCATTGAAGCAACTGCCATGTGATTGGTTGATTAGATAATTGCATTAATGAGAAATTGAACAGGTGTTCCTAATAATCCTTTAGGTGAGTGTATAATACTGTGATTTATTCTATTTATTCTATTTAATGAACAATTTGGATGTGAATGACAGCATCACACACAGTGAGCCACTCGGGTGCCTCTGACGTGCACGACGACGTTCAAACCCGGAAGCAGTACCTGTTGATGAGGGAGACGACGGTGGAGAAGAGTTCCTCATACAGGCCGATGGCCATGCCTTCCACGCACTGAGAGGCGCTGAGCCGGGGGCCGCCTGCAACACGCCGTGCCAGGTGAGGGCGTGCGTACAGATGTGCACAAACACGTTTGCACAAGAGCACAGCGAACATAACGGCAGACATGGACGACCGCGCGTATCCCCATAGTGATCAAGCAAATGCACATATTCCCTCCCAAAGTCATATACACGTTAATGCTAATTAAAATTCCTACGCCAGAGAGACAAGGATATAGCTAAGACACATGTGACGATACACAAGTATATATCAGGTCATTGCCATAATTTTCATAGCAAACAATGGCTCCCTCTCACAGGCCGACGGACTCACTCTCCTCTGTGCCCTCAGGGTAGTGCCTCCCTCTGCTGCCCCCGGTGGCCTTCTCCAATAATTGACGCAGGTGATGCTTGAAGACCGCAGTCTGGAGCTCCTCCCCCTCACAGCCGATGACACTGCTGGCCAGCTGGGCACTGTCGAAGTTCACGAACTGCCGCCGACCGACTGCAAGACAATGGCAATCGAGGTGAGATAATGGCCCAGAGGCAAACATACCCACCCACTGCATTGTTGTTCTTCTTTAACACCATCTTACCTTTGCAGGCCCCCGCTGCCCCTAAATGGTATATTCCGGCCAGCACATGCCAAATCGCTCGTTGCTCATTGGCTGAGAAGTCCAGTGATTCCATGGCAGCCACCAACTTTGAGAAGGCAGCTGATGCTTTCTGCCTCTCCTCTACCTGCCAGAGGGGGCGATGGGGGTAATGCGAGTAAAGAGAGGCTACAAACAGAACAGAGTGCTAAGTGGGGGCATGGGGTGAAAAAGAAGGGCTGTTCCAGTTGTTGCAGTGAAGAACGTCGTGAAATGCTCTAGCATTGCTGCGTACCTTCGCCAGTGCGACGATACCGAATGAGTTGCTCTCACTCAGCTGGTGCAGGTGAAGCTCTGTCCTGCAGGGACGGGGGAAAATGTGACAGGCACTTACAGGTCCACGTTTGACCCAAATTCTCCAGCCAAAAAGGTCACCTCAGCATAAAAAAAAGGACAAGCACATAACTACTGCCTGTAAGCTTTTTAAAGCCAATTCAGAGGTTCAAAATCCAGGCTGTTCCCCCGCTTACAGGCAACATAGATTTCAGTGTCCTCGCAGCTTCAGCCGGCACTGACCTCATTTCCGCACTGAGCCCTGCCAACATCTGGGAGAAGACCAGGAAGTTGCTCTCGCCCTCCTGTCTCTGGCACACCTTCCACTTCTCCAGCAGCATGGTCTGGTCCAAAGATGGACACACAGGCAAAGGGGTCAATGGTAAACGGGCTTCATGGAACGATGAAAGGAACAAGCAGGTTGAAGGGTTAGGGTTAGGTTTAGGGTTAGGGGCTTCGTGCCAGTCAATCACCAGTCAGGAGAGTCAGATAAGAGCAGCATCACATTTATATATTTAGCAGATGCTTTTGTCCTGAATCTAGGCCCCCAAGAGCAGTGACAGTCAGGTTATGAGGCGCAGGTGGGTTTAAGGGCTTTGTTGAAGAGCCCAGGGGTGAAACAATTACTCTACTGGCCATTGGGATTTGAACCCATGACCTCCCGGACAGGGCTGCACATCCCTAACCTGCAGAGTTGCTGTGGCAGGCCTGTACCTGTAGGTGTCCTCCCGCTGCCAGGCCGGCGTGGTTGAAGTCGATGGAGAGCACAGCGGCTACACGGGATGAGGCCTCGCTGTGCTGGGAGCTCACGCAGCCGAAGGAGCGCAGCACAGTGAAGACGGACTGCAGCTTCTCAGCTGCGAGCACACGGGGGGCACGCGGTCACATGACATGGGCAGAATGACAGTCACCACACACACTGTGCTCAGCTATACTGCGCGTGGTAAAGCAGGATATTACATCATACTGCAGTTCTCTGCATCATTGTTTTAGATGCTGTACTGGACCTCATTTAAATATAGCATCAGCCTCATTTCAGGCATCATTTCAGGAGAGATTCCCTGTTTTTTTGGTGCTGAGACACACAGGGCACCTGAAGCGGTGCATTGTGGGTAGACTCCTCACCAGTCACACTGCCCCCTGCAGTGCCAGTCTGCTTCAGCAGCTCCTGCACGAAGGACACGCAGGCAGTGGTCTTGCCCGTGCCGCTTCTGCCCAATGCCACCACACTCTGGTCCCGCCGATGCCGCACCATGGAAACGTAAGTGCGACGCACGAGGGCCTGGAGCACGGAGGGGGCCTCCCATGGCCCTTCGCTACGGCGACCCCACGGGCCCTGGCAGGGTGAGGCAGGGGGGCACAGGGTAATCACGATAAAGACCGAGCACAGCCGAGGGTGCCCATGCCGTTACGGACATCCCTCCAAAACACAAACATGACCTCTGCTTAGCGCCAATGCACACGAGCCTCAGTGAATGTTTTGGATTTCTGAAGATCTGAATGTGAATCATTCAATCAAGGGTAATTAAGAGCTGGAGGAAACCCACTGTAAATAAGGGACAATCAGCACCAGGGCTGAGACAAGACATGCAGTGCTAATAGAAATGACATGACTGACAAGCATTTTTGACTAGGGACACATGACCAGCTGCATGATTGTAAGGCTTTTTCAGTCCTGTGTGCCATCGATTATAACTGAAGTCATTTACCCCATTGGGACCATATATGCACATTTACAACCGTGATCAAAACCTTCCATTTTTAAACCTACCAATACATGCTTGTAGTAACTGTTCAAGTTACAAACAGGGTTTCAGAGGGGCATGGATACCCTGGCTGATTCAGGGGGGCCAGCACATCACAGGGACCATGGGGGGGGGGGGGCATGGATACCCTGGCTGATTCAGGGGGGCCAGCATTTCACAGGGCCCCATGAATATATAATATTATACATAAAGCTGGGGGGGGGGTCAAAGTGAGAATTTGTAGGTTAGTTCCTGAGCAGCCAGCATCCTGGATGAATGCATTGGCTTCTTAGCTGTAGGTACTCTGAGGTTTCATTGGCTGCGACAGCACAGCAGTGATGTGTGGCCGGTTGCCATGGTTACCAGCTACCTTGCTCTGAGGGCTGGAAGGCGGCCACAGGGCCAACACGTTGGGCCCGGCGCGGGTGAGCGGCAGCTGGGCACGGGCACGGCTGCATAGCACGTGCAGGACGCTGGGCTCGCTGATACTCTGTAGGTCGCTCAGGTCCTCTAGCAGGTCCAGCTCAGGAGGGTTCACCTGCGGGCGGGGGATGAGGGGGGGGGGATGAAGAACCAAGCAAGACTCGGAAAGATGTAGAGAAGATGGCGATGATGTAATGAAAGGATCATCATATTTGGCCAGTCTTGGGGTAGAAGATGCCAGAAAATAAGTATGAGAAATTTTCACAAGACCAAATTCTAACCAAAAAAAATGTTGGGTTAGTGTAAAACTCCGTGGTGACAATCCGATCTTACAGTATAACTTCAGCCTTTGGGAGACTCACTTTCTCAATCTCGTACTCGGTAACATCATGGACAGACCCATCAGTCTCCAGCCGCACTCGCACCCTCCCGTCGGGCAGCTCCGGGGTTCCCTCGTCAGGCTTAAGCTGCACGGCTTTAGCAAAACAACAAAAAAAAAGCACATTCTCATTTGTATTTTATTAATTCCACATGCACATTCTCATTTGTATTTTATTAATGTTTCCCCACCCCCAAACGATAATGGTACATTCTGATGAGCAGCGTGGTTAGTCCTACCATCCATCCATCCATCCATCCATCCTAAATACATGTCTGCAGGCAAGGTCACGCTCCAGTCAGAGGACTTAACTTATAACCAGAGATATAGATCAAAGAAATGAGTAGTTCTGGCAGCAGAAATGAAAGGACTTTGGTTCTGTAGGTATGGTTCAGAGGCGCCTTGTGTTTCTCAATTATCTCCGTGATTTTGGCGTTTTTCTCTGCGTTCTCCAGTTTCCACGGTCAGGTGTACTGGTACCTCCCGTTGTGGGTTACTGCGTGTGTCCTGGGGGGCACCAGACCCTGCAGGGTTCCCCCTGCCTTGTGCCCTGCATTTGCAGCCGTTAGCTTCAGGCTAAGCAGCACCTTGCACGGGAGTGGGTAAGTAGATGACAGGATGGTTTAAACTTTATACACACATTTAGCTTATTTGTGGTTTCATTTCCAGAGGAACACTAAGAGGGGAGACTTCTCACTCTTTTGTGTGTGAGTGTGAGTGTGTGTGTGTGTGTGTGAGAGAGAGAGAGTGAGAGAGACTACGCTTGTCCAGCCAGGGGATTTGCTGTCGTTGTCAGATGACATTTACTAAACAACCACAATCCCCCCCGTGCTAATTAACGACAGGATTAGTCATGGCTCCGGTTCTTTCGCTGTGAGTAATCCTGAGCTTTTCATCTCCCCCCCCTCCATTTGAGCAGAGTGCCATGTGCTGTATTAAAGAGGAAGGTGGTATTAAACTGGGGAGGTCCACATGTCAGCCAGAAACATGCTCAGTGTGCAAAGAGCAGCTATTGCGGGTTTAAGACAAGAGCAGCCACAGTGTTACTATGAAGCGTGAAGGCCGTCCAGCACAGAACAACACAATCTAACCATAAAATGACTCAATTAGAACATCTTACTACAAAAGAAATCTCTATAAAAAAGACGACCACTTCCGTAAAAATGTTTCAGTTTCATTTTAAGAGTGCTGTGGACAGCAGAAGCCACATCTGAACTACGATAATTGTGTGGCACCCCGATTACTTTCAACCTTGAAGAGGAGCTGCGATCGTAAGGTCACCAGCTCACATCATGCAGCCGGCAGAGTGATTTCACGGTTGGGCTCTTGAGCAAGGATCTTCACCCCCAATTGCTCCCGACCCTGCTTCTCACTCGCATGTCGCTTTGGATAAAAGCGTCCGCTAAATTAACAGACGTAAGGCCCAGCCAGAACTGTAATGATCATGAGTCATGTACTTGTAGGTAGGGTAGGTATGTATTATTAATCCTCTGGGGAAATGATGAACAATAATAATGATACACAATACCATGCCAGGGGACAGGGTGGGTGTTCACCAGCTATATATAACCTAAGGTCAATTAATACACGTAACACTAACTCACCAGCCACACCACAGTAATACAAGTAACTTGAAGACAAGTGTAAACCTGACCTCATGTTACCAGTTCAAAGTGAACAACATGCATCTTCCTCTTTTCCCCCCAAATTGGCTTTTCTCATACATGCAGTCACTCGCTCACGCAAGGTTAGGCTAGAGTCTCTCAGATCTACAACTGCAGCTCACCGAGGGTGAAGCCATCTTTGTACACAAACCACACCTTCCTGGCCTCATACCACACGTCCTTCTGCTGAAGAGGGGAAACGAAAAGGTGAAAACAGCAGAACGATACAGAGCATGAAGAATAAATGCGTTGTATGCATATTTTGGTCTTCTTGGGGTCCGGCCTAACTTGCTGAGAGAGATTTGGGCTTGGAGATATCTGATGAGGGTAAAACAAGCTAAAAAGAATATTCAGAGTGTACAGAGGAATGGTAGTGAATAAGAAGCACGTTTGGAACCTGTAACAGATTGGTGACAGGTCACATGATGCTTGCGAACTCACAGGCTCCGCCCTCCGCATCCGCTCGTGCTCAGTTGTGTCGCTGTCAGCGAGGCGTCCCTCTGGCTCCTGTCTCTCATCTGTTTCTCCTCCTCTCTCCTTCTCGGCCTCTTTCGTCTCCTCTTTCTCACGTTGCTCCTTCATCCCCTCTGGGCAGACTCTGGGGCTAGGGTACGTTTCCGCTCTAGAGGGGTCTTTTCTGTCCCCTGCCAGTCGGCCCCCCTCGCCGTTCACTAGCTGCTCTGCCCGCAGCGACATCTCCGCCTCCAGGATCGACGGGGTCTCGTCAGGGTGCAGGAACTGCTGAACGAGGTCGTTGCTGAGTTTACTGGGCTGCGGAGCAGAGCACAGCGATTCCTTTGAAAGGCTGCTACCTTTGATGACGGACATCGTCACCATCGCCCACAACTCCCCAGTGTTCAGCCACCTTACCGCCCGCTCCTCTTTCACTTCTGGCTCTTTCAGGCGTGTCTCCTTCTCCGTCTCCCTCACGAGCTGCTTGAGGAAGCCCCCCGGTACGGCTGACAGAGGCGGAGGAGGGGGCTGTACTGGCAGAGAAGGGGGCTTCTTCTCCTCCTTAATCTGCACGGACAAGACAGGATGGGGAGAGTCAGTTAGACCAGGCAGAGCGACTCGAGGGGCCCGAATGACAGGTTGCTATCCATGCTGTGACAGAAACTGGGGCAAACACACACTTAATAGACAAAGGCAGACAGGCATTAGGCCACAGCCTAACCCACAGAGGTGACCATTCACAACAGGGATCACATTATTCATCCACAAAGCCAGCAGTGTCTCACACTTTCCTGTGGGACCTCTGTCTGCTGGTTTCCATTCCATCCCGGTCCCTAACTGTGCCAGAGTGCTGTCTAAGCTCATATTTTTCTAGGTGTTTCCTGAGAATAGATTTCAAATAATATTGTACCCTCAGGACGTCTGGGAGTCCCTGCTCTAAGAAGAACTCAGTTTATGCCCATTGAAATGGCAAAATGGTCAAAGAAACTATCACTGATTTTGGGAAGGGGTGATATTGCAGGTGTGGGACTGTGCTGCAGCATGAACTTTCCATTGCTGATGCAAGACTAACTTCCATATGTCACATCACCCGAATTGTATTTTCTGCGTTGGCAGGTGGCTCCAGAAATGCCTGTACTTCTGCTATGGAGATGGGGCAGACAGACAGACAGGCAGAGAGACAGAGAGACAGACAGAGACAGGCAGGCAGGCAGAGAGACAGACAGGCATAGAGACAGACAGACAGGCAGAGAGACAGAGAGACAGGCAGAGAGACAGGCAGGCAGAGAGACAGGCAGAGAGACAGGCAGGCAGAGAGACAGACAGACAGGCAGGCAGAGAGACAGGCAGGCAGGCAGGCAGGCAGAGAGACAGACAGACAGGCAGGCAGAGAGACAGCATATCGCCCCATCAAGGTAAAACAAAGTAACTGCATATTTTATCAAAACCGCGTTACGACCGAAATCGGGTGTCTTAGGCTCTGCTTCATCTGGTGACAAAATCTCTCTGTTCAACCACGCTCAGTTTTAAACAAATGCACTCATTTACATACATACCCTCCTATGCATAAGGGTAGGTAGTTGAAAAACTCTGAAGCCCTTTTCTCAGTTTCACTGTCAGCGCAATGACTGGTTTGCCATTTTAGAGCAGCAGAGCTTTGTGATGTGAAATGATCACCATGTCAATTCCCTGGGAAAGACCCAGGTCTGATCGCCCTCATTGAAATTAACCACTCCCTGCCAAGCCACACGTCATTGGTCCAATGTTTCCATGTGAGCTAAACCCATTATTAGAACTGAACAGTACTTCTTGAAAAGACATCAAAGGTTAGCCTTTATTAAGGTTTGTACAAAACAAGTCAAGTAATTTTTAAGATGCTGGCTACAGCTGCCTTTAACGAGGCTAATCGAAATTTAGAAGGGAAGTCAGACTAACTGGCTCTTATTTAAATTCACCTGTGAGGGAGCTTGTGATCCGGTTTGTATCAGCTTCTGCTTGCTCTACCCTCAGCACCTTACAGGATATCCTGCAGCTACACTCTGCTCCCACTGGCCGTCGCGCTAACTGCTCCCCGTGGGGACATGCGCAGCTGCATGGTAGCGACACACAGGCCCCACGGGGGCGACCTAAAAGTGACACCACGCGCAGACAGCATAGCAGCTGGTCTCAGCTTAGGACAGCTGCGATCCACCGGTCGGCTGTTGAAGCCCCACGGATGAGACTGCATAGAATTCAGGCAGAGTCTCTTAGAAATGCAGAACCCCCAGGAGAATATTGTTACAGTAGTGCTACAAGCACAACAGTTAAATGTCCTCAAAAGTACTTTTACATTTGGTTGATATTTAGTTTGCCCAAAGCAAACTGGAAATTGTGTGTCAGAACCTCCTCTGACCCCTAGACCAGTTTACCACCCAAGTGCCAGGCTCAGGTAATTATGAAGTTTATAACAAGCAATGTCAGGTGGTGGAACAGACCAAAAAATATTGGGGGTGGGGGGTGCTGAGGAATGAGCTAAGAACTCATACAGAAACTGTTACAAATGGATACAGCAATGGTGAGAGTGGGATTACCGGGACATCAGAGAGACAGACTGTAAACTGGGGAACCCCCAACACGCAGACACACACACACACACGCAGACACACACACGCAGACACACACACGCAGACAC